TTGAAATCGGTGATAAAATTTACAGATACGTAATTTTTCCAGAAATCAGCAATAACAATTTAATAGCTCTTACATAAGGTAGAGATGCCATATAAATATTTTATTTAATCTTAAAACACTTGTTGTTCAAGAAATAACATGTTCGTGTATAAAATAACTACCTATTCAAACTAGAAACCTTTGACTTGAAATTCCAGGATGGATTTTACTGTCATATCACTGAAAAAGTATACATTTTTATTTGCAATTTTTATTCATATAAACTTAATTAAATTTGGTATGTCCAGCCTTTAAAGGGAACGATTTATTCAATACATAAAAGTTGTTCTTGACTGGAAAGACGATTCCTTCTTTCTTTCTGTATAGGTGGACCAACAGATAAAAGTTGGTTCCGAACCATAGGGTCTTCTCATAATCACATAAATATAAACTATTGTTGATTTGTGGGATTTAAACCCGCAGTTTCAGGACAGAAGTCCTGATTTCTAATTAATAAACCAGCCCCTACCTCATCACCAAAGCCCTAACGTACTTTCAATAATAAAACAAATTTGCCAAGAACATCTTGATGGATTTTTCTTGAAGAATAGGGTATGCAGAGATATAAATATTAGACTATGACAATTTAAAAACACCACAGTTTCATTGCAGGTAATGTGCGTTATCTCAGGTGGAGGCACAGTAATGCTGCTAAAATATGTTCACCACCTTGCACAGTAATGACCCGAGATAGCCGCCTATCACACACAAATGTGCTCACGAATTGGAACATATTATCATAATTTCCTCTCACCCAGTTTCGTTTTCCGAAATTACATTTTGATATTCTTAATATTAGTTGAATATGAAATTTTCTCTCTAACTTTTTAACTGAGTGTACGTAATAACCACAGTGAGATGGCAAGTCTTCTATTCAAATTTAATTTAAATTTCATCAAATTCGAATACTCCAAACTTTGACTGAGTTTAGTGAAATAATAAAATCTAACTGAATCTTGTAAATAATTATAACTGCAAATTAAGTTCATAGGATCACATATACTACACTGTATAATATAGGAGTTATACATGTAAAATATACATGTAAAATTATATTTTAGATAATGTCCAGATTAAACTGGAGGTTTTTTATTAGTTCAGAACTATATTAAATATCGTTATACAAACAGTCATACAGTATATAAATAATAGTGAGGTCTTTAACATCTTGTTACCAACTACTGACTATTTGCCATACATAACGCCTCCGCGATTTATAATACTTACTAAATCTCCTTATCTTTTCCGTTAATTCCATACACCATATAATTTGAACGAAACAATGTTAAGTTTAAGTTATAAGATGTTCTTAGTTCTAACCTAACTTTACCCAGCCCAATTTAAAGTTACCTAATCCTAAAAAGGATTATGGATATCTTTAATTTTTCAGCCTGAAATAATAAAACTTTTGTGAATTAACTGAATATGGCCATGTCCAATCTCCTTATACAAGGTGTTCCGTAAGTAACCGAAATTCCGGGAAATGGTCCAATAGGTTAAAATAACAAGAAAATCTATAATATATTTTCCAAAATAGCTTTATTAACCAGATATCCGCTATTTTGTATTTTTCATATAAACATTCTTATCTTTGGATTGTTCCAACCGATCTTTATGAATTTGGAATGTATGTTGATGTAAAAAGGAAAAAGATCTCTATGTTAGAAAAAATGTATCTTTATCCCATTCAAAGTTTTTAATTAACGGCCATTTTAATATTTTTGTTTTAAATTGTTAAAGGTGAGCAAGGTCCTGCTATTGAGCCCAAAAATGGATCTTTCATGATGACTAGTGAACGTTACTTTTCGTCACGATGATAAAAATGACACAAAGGATTTTTTTTGTTTTTTGTTTGGTCGAGCCTTTAATTAATAAAATATAATTCAACAGTCTAGGAAGTTTCTTTAAAGTTGTCATGACGTAGGTTTGCTATTTATTTAAACCCAGCTATTTGAAGAATATATCTCATAATCAAATAATGCGTAAATTATTGTTCCTGTTTATGTTTATTCCGTTTTATGTTTATGTCCATAGGAAAACTTTGTTTTGGATGGAAATAGTTTAATTCGGAAAGGTAGGCATAACAGGTTTGAGCCAGGAAAAACCTATGTTTATAGAGGGATGAACAGTATTTTAGGTTTTGTAAAGTTATTTAACAGTTGAAGTTGTATTCTCTATTAACTGCCCAAGGATCGTCAGATCCGTATTAATCACGTTGTCAGGAAGCGGCGAACAGGCTGCAAGATGTTTACGAAACTAAACATTTGTATTCAAACTTGGTGCGAGCTAGGTTAATTAATGGATGCCATATCATCGTCCTTCTGTAACTTGTGATTAATGGTAGCTAGTCTGTATCACTGAAAACCTGTAAACACAGGAAATGGCGCTGTAAACTCATTTACATACATTCTGTCCCCAGGTTCGGGTAGCTACACAGACTTCTAACACGTTACTGTAGTGGAATAAAAAAAGATGAAAAGCTACATGTTTAATATCCTTAGTTATCAACTTTGTTGACTATATTTATTGTTTATTGTATTGAAACCATAAAATAAATGCCCTGGAGGCATGTAGAAAGGCTAAGTCATTTAATCATAAATTTTACTTGATTTTTTTCTTATCATGAATTCAGCCAACTGTAAAATAAACTATTTTAGGATTCTAATGAAAAGTTAAATGCATAAACTACCCCAGCTGCAGAAAACAAGCAGACATAATGAATTTCCATTTACCTTATTGGATTTTCCTATTAATCATATACGCTAATACAGGGGTTTTCTGAACGATCGGTGTGGTTTTAAATAAAAATAAAAATTGAACCATGTAATCGAGCAAACACATATTTATTTTATTAAAATCCCCTTGCTTAAAATCCCTTTTACAAAAAAATGTGTTTAGTGATACATTAAATTTATTTATAAGTCCTACATTAATTTATTTGAGTGATCTGCAGACTTGTAGTTGATTAAAATTAATTTTCATTCTAGCTCCTGAGCTGTAGTATTCAATATGATAAATAGGTTACATACCTTATTAATCCGGCAAACAGCGCATTTTTTATTGAAGGTCGTCTACATGTTTCGACCGGTTAATGAGAACAAAAATATTGAGAGCACAATTCTGAATGAAAAACTTAAATTTAAATCCCATCACATTTTCATTAACATCCTTAAACAAAGGCAGAGGTCGACGCACATTGATCAGCAGTCCACATCAGCTGATAAGACAAGACCGACAATGCACAACTAGTTCAGTCTGCATCCTGACCTTGACAATTGTGTGCGTCTTGCCCGCGTATTTTACGTAATATCATTGACTATCTGTAGGTATATATAGACAATGGTAATAGGCCTATTCAAAGTTTTATTCGTTTTCGTAATGTTTTCGTCCCGTCTGTGTGTGTGTGTGTGTTTGTGTATGCACTTTTAGTAGGAAACAATGACAAGGACCATTTACCATTTACCATCCGGTGTCTTCTCCACAATCCAGGGATCGGGGAATCGTCAAACTTCTTCCTGGGACCAGGGTATTCATGTCTCAGGTGTTGAAAAAGTGTGCTCCACAATGAATTCGGAGATTGTGTAGTATGGCCTATCTGTTAAGTATTGTTTTAGTTTACTATTGAAGGTGACAGGTTTTTTGATGGTTTTGAGTTGTGGTGGTAATAAATTAAAGAAGTAAGAGCCAGAATAGTGAGGACTATTGCTGAATTTCTGCAATCGATGTTGTGGCAAGGCTATGTTATGTGTGTTGCGGAGGTTGTATGAATGTTGTTCTGATCTCAGGGTAGGTGTCGATTGTTTTGCAAGTGTGATGGATTCCAACAGGTACAGGGATTTGACTGTAAGGATTTTGTGATCTCTGAAAGTCGGCTTGCAGTGTTCGTGATTTGGCAGTTGAAAGATTGTCCTTATGGTCTTCTTTTGGATGATGAGGATGCGTTCCATGTTCCTGTCCGCTGTGGATCCCTAGACAGCAATTCCATAACGCAAATGTGAAGAAAAGAGGGAGTGGTAGGCTATTAATGCTGTAGGTTCTATGGTGATGGCTCTAATTCTTCGAACAACGTGGTGTGCAGAAGATAGTTTCCCACAGAGGTAGTCAACGTGGTCCTACCAGCTGAGATTTTGGTCAACATTTCACCATCCAACTGCGACGTTTTGACAATGGCCGATACAAGCCGAAACATGTAGACGACCTTCCTCGTGAAAGGTCAGTAGGCTAGCTTTTTGATAGTTCAAAATTAAATATTTGAAGTATTTGGTAGTCATGGACAGCAATGAAACAGCGGTTTTCCAAAACAGTGTTACAAAACGTAGGATTACCAGAAACCTTTGACTGCAGACGTCCATTTCAAGGTGCTTGAGAGCTATGTCTCTCTCTGACAAACACACTGAAGTCTTTGAAAATAATATATTTCATTACTATAACTGGAAGTGGCATTTTCCGGGACACTCTCAAGTTTCATGTGTGAGGCGCAGCCGAGTAAGTAAGAATTATTAGAAATAATTGAATGCCGGAAAATCACTTTCGGTTTAAGTGAACGACTTTTCGTCACAACGCAAAAATACTTACATACAGAATAACAGACTCAGCAAAATTATAACGTTTTTCCCCTAGTAAAAAAATAATAAAAAAATAAATAAAAAAGGTCGTAACAAAAAACGTGAAAACTAGAAGTTCATGTTCAAGGTTAAGTCCTTAAGAACTAAAGATGCTATCTAATGACTGATCAACGTTAGACAACAATACCATAGTCGAGACTGTTCATCAACAAAACACGTTTAAAATGTCAATGACGTATCTTACACAAATAAAATAAAATCCCTCTTGGGTGCAATTCATCACAGTACAAGTTCATTCAGTGTTGAGAAAAAATCAATCACGGAATAAGGAAAAGGAAATAAAACAACAATTTAAACTGAATTGTTTATTACATATTCACTAAACTGTGTAGATAATCTTTTCAGTAGCTAGAAACAACCTTTCTTTTTTAACTGGATACAGCCTTTTTTCTTCTTCTGATCAACCTCCAACTCCAAGCCGCACTTGAACGTAAGTTGATCGACCTCAACAGGACACACCCAGCATCCCTGCGAGTTCTCACACTGTAGGATATTAAAGTTCAAGGGGTCCCAGTTTCCACAAAGATAGGTCTTGGTAACTAAAATATAGTTCAACGCGTTACAGTCACATTGGTAAAATTTATTATCTCGTAACACTAAGTCTGTTGAATATCATTTTTATCTAGCATAGCCTATAATTCATCTATGAATAGATTTTTTTAAATTTTGTATTCGTTTGAATCACAATCCAAGATAGAGTAGGTCTTAATAATTAGTAATAAAACAGCATATTTTTGGGTCGGTGGGACAAAGCGTTAAAGTGAGATCGGTGAGGTTACGTAGATGAGGCTAGGGTGTGTTGATAGCCTAGTGGTTACCGTCTCATACTTCGGCGTGAGAAGGATAAGTTCGTTTACCGGCACACCTACAAATCATAACGGTTTGGACCTCTTTTCCAAAAAAAAAAAAAAAACGTTTGAGTACCTCCTCTTTCTTCCTTGAAAAATGCCCCAGGCGATGAAAAATGTTAAATAATATTTGATAAACATATTTGTGACAAACAGACACATGGAGCCAAACAGACAAAAAAATTGAGTGAGTAGCGTAAATTGCTGTCTTGGGCACCTCCGACAGTCAGACAGATACACACACACACACAGTTGTAGTTTGGCAGTCGTGAGGAACGGACGGATTTTCCTTGTTCTGTTATCAGAATGAGTGACTGTGCGTCTTGTGGTGACCAGTTACCGGATACTGGTGATTTCGCCAAGTGCTCGATTTGTTCCACCTTGTTGCATTTTAAGTGTTCGGCTGTACCGAAACTGCCACGACATTTTACGATCATAACCCATACCGAAACTGCCACATCAATTAGTGATGTACTTAAATTAGAATATGGGACACCTCAAGGAGGGGTTCTCGTTCTAGGGCCTGCAATTTTTATTATTTATGAAAATGATTTGTTTTGTTTAAATTTAGATTCACAAATGTTTGCTTATGCTGATGATACAACACTTGTATGTTCTTCTTACAACAAGAATTCTTTCAGGCTAAAATTAAACAGAGATCTGGAAAAAATTTAACAGTGGCTGGTGGGTAATAAACTAGTGATAGATACAGAAAAATCCAAATGCATATTGTTCTTTGACCAAAGTATTTCAAAAGAGTTTTTGACTAAACATTGCAATATCATGTGCCCTAAGCATCACTGCCTTTATGTCTGTAATTGTACTAGTATAGAAAGTCAGTAGTGTTAAGTATCTGGGGTTGCTTGTTAATGAATATTTGAAATGGAGTACACAGATTAACCATTTATGTAGTAAACTAAGAAAAATAGACTATGCTTTGTAATTTTGAAAGATCATGTGAAAAGTGCTTATTGAAAAAATATTGTTTGTCATGGTTTGAAAGTGTCTTAAGGTATGGAATAATTCATTTTGGTGCCACATACCCAACCCTTTTGAAATCTGTAATTATGTGTCAACGAAACGCCATCCGACAATATTTGTTAAGCGTTATGATCAAATAAATCAAATCAAAAATCACTTTATTCACCTTTGTAAATACAGGAATACATTATTAGGGTAAGAATAGTATTCCCCCGAATGGACTGCAAGTCCGTGCTCGAAGGTCTAACTTCTTAATCAGCAAGACACTTGTTATTAATTTCACGGAAATTAAATAAAAATACGTCTAAGAACATAGCTTTACACTTATACTGTTTTAAACATAACTCTAAATAGGGTGAGTCTTCTAAGCTGTCCTAAACAGATTACAGACGAACGGATTGACATACTGAAATGAAACAAAACTTTCCCCCACTAATTCATACCCAAGGAACAACGTAAAAATGTTTTTACCATTTTTAAAATACAGGGTGATCAAGAAACTAGGGGTAATGGGTTCGAATCTCAGAGTTTTCAAAATTAAACATATGTCATGTTATGCATCATTCTAAAGCTCTAGACTAGACAAACAATGTAGTGAAAACAGAACTCATTTATCTTTTTCCGTTTCAAAATGGCGGCCATTTTTATGGAAAATATTGATATTTACAGAATACCCTGTATCTTGGAAACCACTAAACTTATTTTCATTCTGTTTGAAAATTCTCAATTCTCAATTGAGTTTAGCTTTAATTCGATATACGACATGTGAACAATTTACAAACTAAGTATTTTTTTCAATGATTTTTTTTAATGTTGGTAGCCTTGTAAATGGAAAAATTTAAATGGTAACATATGTCAAATTGCGTATCATTTTGAAGGTCTTGCAAAAACAAATAACTTTTAAATTTAAACCCACCGTCTATCTTTGATAGTTTTCTAGTTATTAACCAAAAACTCCAATTGTCCATATAAAATCCATGTTAAACGTGCAGTACTGTATTGAATAGTGTATCTGCATCCACAAATCTCCAGTACTACACGTTTAACATGGATTTTATATGGGCAATTGGAGTTTTTGGTTAATAACTAGAAAACTATCAAAGATAGACGGTGGGTTTAAATTTAAAAGTTGTTTGTTTTTGCAAGACCTTCAAAATGATACGCAATTTAGCATATGTTACTATTTAAACTTTTCATTTACAAGGCTACCAACATAAAAAAATCATTGAAAAATATTTAGTTTGTAAATTGTTGACATGTCGTATATCCAATTAAAGCTAAACTCACAAAAATTATGAATTTTCAAACAGAAAGAAAATAAGTTTAGTGGTTTGCAAGATACATGGTGTTCTGTAAATATCAACATTTTCCATAAATATGGCCGCCATTTCGAAACGGACAAAGATAAATGAGTTCTGTTTCACTCAATTGTTTGTATAGTCTAGAGCTTTAAAATGATGCATAACATGACATATGTTTACGCTTGAAAACTCTGAGATTCGAACCCATTACCCCCAGTTTCTCGAACACCCTGTATTTTAAAAATGGCAAAAACATTTTTACGTTGTTCCTTGGGTATGAATTAGTGGGGAAAAGGTTTGTTTCATCTCTGTATGTCAAGCCGTTCGTCTGTAATCTGTTTAGGACAGCTTAGAAGACTCACCCTGTATAAAAGATGGTAATGGTGATAAATTTCGATTGAGTCCAAATCATCATCAAACCAAATTTTATAGTTATAGCACGCTTTAGCAGTCTACATACATTTATTTAAGCTACATTCATAATCAATCTCAAACTGGTTCAAACGCAATACGGTAATGTTATATCTACTTTAAAGTCAAATAATACAGGTACTTACAGAAATTTGATATCTTGTTGGGCTTTTTTAGTAACATCACATTAAGGTGTTCGGGTTGTGGAGCGATGCTCAAGTCCAAGCCTTTAACAACATGTTTAACAGGAGTTAGAGTGTGATGTAAAAATTATGAAAACAATTTTAATTGATTTCTTTAGGTAAATATTTTATTTCAAATTCTAGTGATTTGAAGCAAATGTAAACCATTATCAAAACACAATTGGTAATACAATTTAAAAAGTTAACATTTTTCTAATGTATTCATTGTAATAAAAAAACATACTTACAAGTCAACAAAATCACACTGCAAAATATTTCTTTGAACTTCATTATTCAAGGCAAATGTATGTAAGCTGTGATAGTGGATAACTAATGTACGTGAGTTGTGACATTGCAAGAGTGCGCCTGTTTATGTAGTTTGTGACAGGTGATTAATATGAACCATCAATCAATCATCAAAAACACGTCTACCAGATAGTTACGATCACGTGTAAAAGTGCAATGTGACAGATCTACGTTGGGATCTAAAACTTTACATTTAATCAACAGGACCTAATGTAACTCTATTGTACACTTGGTCAAAAGTAAAATAAGTATAATGAACAAGGGCTAAACGGACACTCTAGTGTGCTAAACTGAAAGTAACAATTTTTTATAGGCGACCAACTTACAACACGAAAATTTAGTATATTAGTAGTCTCTTAAGGAGTCAGCTTAAAAAAAATTACTGCCGTCTTATTTTGCTTTTACCAACGAATATATGTTAACTCTAAAATAGAAAAATTGTCAATAACCGAAACAGAGAATCAGAAAAATAATACATAGCAATAGTGAAACACTAAGGGGACCAGAATGGCCATCCCCTATGGGACGTTCCTATAAGTAAAATTAGCTGAAACCAGTATAAAATAGTACAATTGCGTGATTTTGTGGCAAAAGAAATTCATTCAAGCTATAGTAATTCTTTTAATTTATATTTACGTTGAATACATCACAATCTAACAATTAAACTGACATTATGTTTGCGTTACTAAAATATGGAACTAACCCCATAAGCAGTAAAAGCATGAATGCAAAATAACAGTCAGGACTTTGTAAATGGCATTGCCGTGGAAAATAAAAATGAAATGAAATGAAGGACCACGTAAGTTTGCAGTTGAGGGAGGAGCCTATTTACCATATGGTTTTGAATGAACCAATAAGAAACGTGCGGTGTTGCCAAATCTAATAATACCAGCTGATTTGAAAATATTGCTTAGTATATTTTAATTGGTGTTGTCAACGGGCGATGTGGCAACGTCGCACTAGCTTGTCTTGTGATTGGCTGCCACCAACTGCAAACTTACGTGGTCCCGACAACCAATTGTGTCCACGACCATCCCGAAAATTCGAAAACATTTTTCTATTCTGCAGATGCTTAAGTCACACATGTTGCTATTTGGAAATAAAAAATGTCAGACAAGTCGGCTTCGCTAATAGAAGACAGCTGCACTTTGTATTCTCTACTCCAGCCAAGTACTGTCATAAACTTGGCTAGAGCTTCATACCTTCACCATCGCAAAATATGTCTTGTGTGCAACTTGTCACTGGAGGTAATTGCCGAGGACATCAGTTAGGCTGAAATGCAGTGCGAATTGAGATTTTGGGTTAAATTGTGTTTGTGTTTTTACGTCATAACGAATCTTGCTTGGAATTTTCAAGGTAAGCACTTTGACCACACCGAGACAATTAAAAGCTTTAATACGAAGAACCTTGGAGTAGATAGCTTCAGGAACACAAGTTTACGACTCTAAAAACGGGTTGTATAACCGAAATCGACTAATTTAGATTTGTGTGTAGTATTGAACCAATTTAACATATAAAGGATAGGTAATTTAAATATACTTATATCAGATAATTTTATAACCTACTATTCGGGTATAATACTATACTTTCAGAGATAATGTTGCCTTCTTCGCATTCTTGCTTAGGGTATCAAGCTTCTTCATGTTGAGGTTGTCAAAACATTAACAACGATAACTTGGACATATATTTTTTTACATGAAGTTTGTGGACAACTGTTGTAGCTGGCCAACAATATTTAATACACAATTGAATGCAATAGTAGTTTACGCAACGATTGCGTAAAGATAGTGTTAACGACACGAGTAGAACATTTTAAGGTACGAGACTGGGCGAGTGCCTTAAACACTTCTAAGAGTGTCGTTAACACCATTTACGCGAGTTGCGTACACTACTTTACCTACGACAGTGTTTTAATTAATACAAATCACTATTTATATTTTCTAGGAGAGGTTATGTTTTCGTTTATAACCTCCAATTGCCAATGCCAGTGATGCAACGAAAGGTTGTACCAAACACAAATTGTACCACTCGACAATTAAACTAGCCTGAACAGCTGATTAGTTGAAGTTAGAATCATAACAAGTTTAATTCTTCTCTATCAACCCTTGAACCTCATTGGTCAGTTACCCGTGTTGTTATGAGTAAAACTATGCTGTTGTGAAAGTAAACAATGCTGTTATGAGAATTTTTTTTAATTCTAAGAACTGGACTGAAACGGCTACTTAAAAAACGGTCGTAGGTAAATATAATTTATGTAATGTCCTTTTGAGGTAAATTAGCGGGTATATCCTAGAATGGTTCAGAATTGGTCCTCAAAGTTTCTTATCTATTTTTTATCCAGCAATTTTTAGATGAGAGATTTAGGATTTAGCTTGCTGTAAAACTACGTATTATTTCGTAAAATTAGCGAAATGGTTGAAATTTTGAAACCTAGGTTTCTCATCATAAAGCGATTAAAACTTTTCCGAAAATTTTGCAAAATTTTAGCGTAACGAGGTTCTAAATAATCAAATTGTGTTGAAAGTCTACATGAAAAAATCTGCTACACCACAATGTTAAATGTTTATGGTTTACCATAATGAATCTTATGAATATAATATTTATCATAATGCTTACACATTCACTTACTTCTCGAACAAGGCACGTTTAGCTGGTAAACGGAACGGACCAAATCATGGAACGAACAGGGCTGTGTGATATAGAGGGTGAAGACGTATAGTCGATCACCTCGTGACTGAGTTATGAAAATTCACTTTCCACTCAATTCAAGATGACGTGACACCGATTTTCACATCAACGGCACGAACCTACTTTCCCAATGTCAATATCCACCACCCGTCATATTTAAACTAATAAAAATATATCTTTTAGGTATAAATGAAATAATAAGCAATACTCTTTGCCAAAATAAATGATGAAGGATATATTAATAATTAAAACCAGGTTTAAACTCACTTAAATGTACAACAAAACAAGAAATCAAATTTCTTCTTAATACCATGTTTAGATTAGTGCAAAGTAAGTTTGCGACACAGAATATTGGCAAACAGGCAATCATCAACAAACACGGTTACAATACCACAATAATCTCATGATTAGTCTAAGGCATGAGGATTACATGTAAATTATATTACTAATAATTATATTACATGAGGATTACTGTCAGATTATATTCAACGTCAATAATCAATTCATATCTTATACCATCTCACACAGTATTATAAAAGTATGACAGTAGATTAAGACGGTGGTCCGTCTTCTAATTGTAGTGGGTTGTTCTTGTAATCCATCTATAGAATATGTCTCCTCATCCCAGTGCAATGACGTCACAAGCTACAACATCTGTTGATAGATCGCGCGATGACGTTTGACGTTGAATGATTAGTGTAAGCCTCAACCTCAACCGCTCCCCCCCCCCCAACCCAACAACCCACAACGCTACAGCCACAGCAGTAAACGCAGACGTTTGCTGACATACGTACATACACACCTGTTTAATTGAAGTGCTTAGACTCATACTGCCAACATAAAGTCTAAAACATTTTTCAAAGTATACCTAATACTGTATTTTCTGAGAGCATAATAAATTACCTTGATGATAAATCGCTCTTGAAACCCGAAACGATGGCGCATTGAATCTAACTAGTACTTTTCATATTTTATTGTACGAAGTAAACATATGGCAACTTGGCTACTCAGACAATTCAGTTCAATAAGGTTCAATTCGAGCAGGTTTTGAAATGATTTAGATAGCGATAGTATTAGTTAGTGGAACCAGCATAAAATAAAATAGGAACAAGTGTAGAATGTAATGACATGAAGGTTTTGGTAATTGTTGCTGCTGGTATACTTTATATAAATAAATTCATAAAATCTAACAGGTTCAGTTTCGTACCACCGGAATTATTAGCATTACAGTATGTTTAAGACGGAACCAGAAACCACCAGATAAAAATACGTTTTAGTTAGTTGGAAGATTTATATATTTGTCAATTGTTTATTAAATAAATAAACAATGAGAGTTGGATGGTATTTAAAAACAAATTATTTAAGAACAATTAGTTTTTTTTCACAATGCATTAAGTTACCCTATAAAAGTTCAAGCTACGACATTAATACGACGAGTTATTGAAAACTAGTGGTGAAGAAGTGGCAGAAAGAGTAATTGTATATAAAAATGTTTAGAGAAGATAAATACTTCAATTAGTCGAGATTTTTTCGTTCGCGATAAAATATATAGCTGTAATTCGTGTTGTAACGACTGTGAATGCCACATTAGTCACTCAGTTTTAACACTTTCTAAATGAGCCAATACAACTTTGGGAGTTTATCGTGTAGCGAGGAATAAATTATTTTGAGGACGATCTTATCATTTCCCCTAACAATAATATGAGTTTATACAATTATTTTCGAGGTTCATTTATGTTTAATCAACTGAGATCTCTGAATTGTAATGGCTTCAAGCTGGAATAGATATTCTCATGTACGTATTTGAATTAAACACATTGAAGGCCGTTAAAGACATGTTATCCATGGCCGAAAATGAATTATTATTTAACCAAGTTCTGCAAAACTATTTTAAGGTAATGATAAAATACATTATTTTTTTGGTCATTGGTTGTACTAGATAGAAAATTAAATGATTTAAATAAACTTATACTTAAAAACTACAGCTTTCTCTATCAATAAGTTAATAATAGGGCTACGACTTTGTTTAAAATAAAGATTTTTGTTCTTCTGAAAACAAGCAGAAGAATGACCACATAGAAATCCTAGGTGAATTTATATTCACGCACCACATATATATCCATTTAATGTGTATTACTGTCCAACAGCACTTTTTGTAATGCTATTTCGTATGTGGATGGACAAGGGTCTAAAAGCCTTTTTGTTCGCAGGGATTTCCATGCACAAGGGATACGCCTTTGTACAATTCACCAACCCCTTTGACGCCCGGAGTGCCTGCCTGGGGGAGGACGGACGAACCGTGCTGGGACAGACCTTAGGTGAGTCTTTTGTAGATTAAATTCATTACTGAAATTGGTAGTAAATCAGGTACTAAAGTATCCTATGGTTGAGGGAGCTCTTTAACACTCTTTGCCTAAGGAATGTTTTCCGGATGGATCTATAATTAGATTTATTCTACACACCACCACGAACATGATTAGTGATTAGGGGAAATCGAACTTGGATTTATTCTTGGTAGAAGACCTGCGTTCTAATCACTAACCCAGTCGAGTTGATAGCTGAAATATATTTCATTACTGTATGTAATCCGAAAAAAAGGAGATGTTAGCAAAGCATATTTTATTTTAGGAATAAATTGAAACGAAAAAGACTTCAGAGAAAGCGATATTGCCCACAGGACGTAAATTATATGGATGCAAGTGACTATTATATTTTTTTTATGAATAGCTTTGAAATGTTTACGTACGTGCAGCTATGTGCACCATTTGTTTTACACCTAATCCAACTTTTACACTAATCTATATCGCTAAATACACGTCGTTCTTCACGTTGTAAAATGTTGTTCGTGTTGTATTTGGTTCTATTTATACCTTTTAAATAGAGAAGATTTTGGGCAAGGGCCTCCTCGTAATTTAAATTTGACTCATGCACTCCCTCAATCATTCACATTTCTGATATGATAAACTACAGTCTTTTACGTAAATATTTTGATACAGAAAACCTGTATTTTAGACATCAATAATGTGAGCGAATGTTCTTGTTTTCTGTGAGTATAAGCAAGTGTCATACATTCTCCAGTTTGCGTGGTTAGGTCAAATTAACAACCCCTTCCTTAGGTTCGGTGCTCCTCCTTCGTAAAACTTTTATAAACATGATTCTGGCTTCATCAAATTGTTGCCATGTTACTCCCGTACTGATAAAATTGAAGACCTTGCATGTGATTTAATAAAAGTGAAAACTTCGTCATTCTCAGGTGCATTCGTTTTGTCCCGTTAAAACTAACAACTACACCTAGAAGTCGTTGAATATTAAAACTCTATAATAAAAAAATGAGTAATAAAAACTCTCTTGGCATTTTAAGGAGTTTTTTTTTTATTATAAAAAATGAGTTAGTGAAAACTAACTAAACCAAGGAAGATAAAGATATTTCCGACCTTTCTTCGATGTCTTTGTGGTAAAGATTTTACATTTGCGTAATTATATACATGGGTTCTTACATCCAGCTAATTACACTAGGAAGGTCCGAATTACCCTAGATTACTTTTTGACCCCAGAGACTAAAACTACCGTTTTAAACGATATATTGCTATGTTACAAAGAAATATTGTCCCAAGATTCATTTTAAACACATAATACAGACTTATACGAAATATGAACTAAACACTAAAAACTTATACGCAAAACAGTTAACATAACAGAATAAAACACAAACCTTCATCACGTTTAGCTTCTTTACATGATTTAATCTAAATTTGTATAACATTATTTGGTGGGAGTTTTACAATATTAAGCAAGTTCAATTACTCGTAGCTATTTAACCTTTTAAGTTTTCTCAAAAGGTGGACGCACAGGTTAAGTTGGCCTCAAATCCATTAGATTATACTATTATTACAAAGTGCTAAAAACTTTTTAACAACTGCTAAAAAGTGGAATGTGTTACTAAAACACCTGTTGTTGTTCGAACTTCTGTTCGCACCAGGTTTCAAAAGAAGTCACCGGATGGACTACAGGGTCAATTAAACCAATTATATTTAAGCCCTAAAACCACAGAATTCAAATAAACTGTATTTCCTTTTATTTTCAACCATGGCAGTAGTAATACGATCTATTTGCACGAGTAGTATTTATTTTTATGCTGATATACCAAGGAGTAAGTCGTATCTGTCTGTAAGTCTATTTTTGTCTTTAAAAGAAATAAACTGAAAACTAAAACTAAATACAGAATTGCATACATGCAACGATGCAACTGCAAGAAGCATATGTTTTTCATGATCTCCCTCCATCGCGTGGCGAGAAGGCATAACGCTAACTGTTCGGTCGTCTCTTAGCGGTGCTTTGTTCTTTTATATAATACCGCTAGTTTTATTATTATGTCTGCATCAATCTTATATTTCTTTTGTTTCTTTCATAAAACGACTTAACCGCACTTTTAAATTATTACTGATAGTAAATTTTTATTAGAGGACGAATGAACCGTTGAATACATTTCTACTGTTTGTGAAGTTTTCTTCACTGTTGAGGTATTGGATTTTCTTTAAGTTACCTGTATCAAGTTATTTACTTTTATCAAAGGCGTTTTATAAGACTCGAATTCTTAGCTTAACCCCGATGCTTAATCATTTATAATATTGGGTTATTAATTATCCACAAGGTATTCAATCGGGGTGATATACGTTAATATTCCAGTTATATTATAAATAAATTTAATTGTAACAATGCGTTATCAACGTATCGTTTACATCGACATCTCAAATACAGACCCTAATGTGTTTTCAATAAGTAAGCTCAGTTTTAACAAACGTATTGTTTGGAGGAGTTTTATTTAATCACTGACACTACTTAATTAATAATTGTGTTGATACTCTAACTATAAGAAATAACTGTTTCGTATTAAAAAAAAAACTAAATGGAATCGATTAAGTAAGTTAAAATTTTAAATGATCAAAAGGTTAACTCAGAAAAGGGGCAATTATTTTTTTCAATTTCTATTTTATCACAAGTCTTAAAAATATGCAGATATAGAAACACTCAAAACCTGAAACAATGATGATGGTGTGAACCTTGTTGTGTCATATAGCCTTTTATGATTTTAAAAATATTGTTTACCATACAATGTTGTACAATACTTTGAAGTGGCATCCTCAGTGGCAAAGTTGAGACATTGTATAATAATACTTGTTTTTAGATAAAAATATAGTTTATGGTTTGTTGACAATTGATTTCAAATTGAATTAATTTTCACCCAAGATTATAGTTCCATAGAGACTTTTAATTATAAGAGACATTTTTGAAAAATTTAAAACCTCAACATCAAATATCAAAGACTTGTGCCTGCTATGCTATGTAATAATTCATAACACTATTAAATGTTTCATTTGGTTCTATTTAGCTATCTGTTACTTTAAACGATATGGTTTGTTTGAACAATCGTACCTTAAAAATACTACTACTAAACTTAGCTATTATTTTTGATACACTTAACAACGAAAATTTGAATTTATATCGAAATACCAAGTTTTATATGAAATTCCCAGTGTTTATTACAGAAAACAGAAGGAGAGTTATAGCCCCAAGAGTGATTGTTGTTACACAGAGCACGTACCAAGGAGTTGCTACCACACTTCCAGCCTGACAATACTGCGTAACTCACCTAGTATGATTGTGGTCAATACATACAAAGATACTGAGTAACTTATCTAGTATAATTGTTGCGCTCAATACATACTAAAATACTGAGTAACTAACTTAAAACTATTGTTGTGGCCAAAACATTCTACAAACCTGAGTAACTCACTTAGTGTGATTGTTGTGATCAATACATACTACAAATACTAAGTACCTCACCTAATATAACTGTTGTGGTCAATACATACCAAAATATTGTGCAACTTACCTAGGATAATTAATTGCTGTGGTCAATGCATACTTGTGCAACTCAGCTAGAATGATTGTCGTGGTCAATACATACTGCAATACTGTGTAACTCACCTAGTATGATTGTTGGGCTCAATACATACTAAAATACTGAGTAACTAAACTTAAAATTATTGCTGTGGCCAATACAAACTACAATACTGTGCAACTCAGCTAGTATGATTGTCGTGGTAAATGCATACTGCAATACTGTGTAACTCACCTAGTATGATTGTTGGGCTCAATACATACTAAAATACTGAGTAACTAACTTAAAATTATTGTTGGTAAAACATACTACAAACCGGAGTAACTCACTTATTGTGATTGTTGTGGCCAATACATACTACAAACCTGATTAACTCACTTAGTGTGATTGTTGTGGGCAATACAAACTACAATACTGTGAAACTCGCCTGGTATGATTGTTGGCTGGTTGTTGTCAATACATACTACAATACCGTGTAACTCATCTAGTTAGATTGTACTGACTACTACAAACTACAGAAGTTTCTTTTCTCATCACACTAGTTCGAAATCTATTAGAATGGTATCTAATCTATTAGGTCCACTTCTTGTGAGGAACGCAACGGCCACAAGACAATGTTTTGCCTCTAGAACCATTCTTGTTATCAAAGTTTAAAACGGTCAAAGGTTTGTGTACCACATTATTAATATCGACATCGTTACATAAAAAAATATAGTTTTACATGAAATTCAAGACCCATTGCGCATTTATAATAATCAAATTGCGTATACTGCGTTTTAAAAGAAGATACATCCCTTTGAGAGTGTTTGTAACTTAAGCTTTGTAGCATAATACCTTTTGAATTATAATTTAATTCCGTATAATTGAAAGTAGGAACTATACAGATACAAAGTAAACAATAGCAACATTTTCCATTCCAGGAAAGACGATTAGTTCACTGTATTTTTACGTCCAATCAGCTAAATGCATTCTGCAATGCTATCTCACGTGTAACACGTCAAGCATGCTATGTGTCTTCTTAAAAAATTATTATACTGAAAGAAAGCTGCAAAACATGTATAATTCATAGAACCCTCTACCCTGCAAGTACATATAAAGTGCTTGTCAAGTTAAAATTAAGGGTTGCTGTGAACAGACGAAAATGATTAAATATTTATTCTTTGAGAAATAAAAATGAGTTTGACAATACTTAACTTTTTTACCACTGACATTTGTGTAAACTTACAAAAAACTCAGTCAATACATACGCAAGTTACTTGAAAACTCGTCTATCGTATTTGTTAATGCTAAGTCTACAAATGTAACTATTACTAGTAATAATAATTAATAAGTAAAAATTCTTAACTCTTTGTCAATTGGTAAATAGCTGGTATCGAACGAAATAATATAAATATAAAAATAGCGATATCTCCTTAT